TAGGTGACCCTTCTGCAGGCAGCCAGGAATCCAGGAAAGGCTGAAAATTTCACCTTCACCATTGACGAGTCGGTGAAAAACCTCACAGTTTACATCACTGGGAACTCTGTGACCTTTACTCTTATCAGCCCCTCAGGTGATCACTCTGTGCAGATGGTATATTTTAAAGTTGTTATCACTGTAGGAGTAGAGGAGGTTCTTTAAAGCCACTTTGTGTGGAAATTTCTAACTTTGGTCCCATCTGGTGGTGGTAGTAAGTGTTGCACTGTGGTCGACTGCACGCAGCTGCTATAAAAAATTGAAACGTTAAATGCTTCACTTTTGGCTTTTTACCCAGTGTGCTTCATTGCATGCCATTGATCTCCTTTTAGGAGTGTCTCAGGAAAGCACCAACACGACAGGCTCACTGATCACTGCATCCCAGTCAGTGGGAAACTTCAAGACTCTGCAGCTAAAGCAACAAGTTGGACTGTGGGAAATTCAAATGGTGTCAACAAATCCCTACATTCTGAAGGTTGTAGGTGAGAACTCCACGATTATGAGGTTGAATCACATAATCAGTATTTAAGATACTTTAGGTATAACTATCCCTTACCAAATGTATTATGTTGATCTGTTCCGTACGACATCTATTGCACGTCTGTCCGTCCTGGAAGAGGGATCCCTCCACAGTTGCTCTTCCTGAGGTTTCTACCATTTTTTCCCCCCGTTGAAGAGTCTTTTGGGGGAGTTTTTCATTATCCGCTGTGAGGGTCCAAAGGACTGAGGGATGTTATATGCTGTAAAGCCCTCAGAGGCAAATTGTGATTTGTGATATTGGGCTTACATAAACATTAACAATCTAATGGAATCTAAAGGACATGACTTCAGTGACAGCGTTGGAATCTTGCATAGGAGCCGGAGTTTGGTGCCACTTCTCTTGGAGTCAATGAGGCGGGCACGACAAATTACATTAAAACCCATCGTATCTTTTTGTTGCAATTCTGATTGAAAAAATCCTACCACCAAATTAAAAAAACACACATTACATGATGCTGACTGACATTTTAAAAGGAAAATTAACACACACATTTAGAAAAAGCATTACAATGATGGGTTATTGTGTGATTTGCAGTGTCCACCCCATTAACCTCAGTAGAAATGGCACCAAAGTCCGGCTCCAATGCAAAATTCGCATGCTGTCACTAGGGGTGGGAATCTTTGGGCACCTCACGATTCGATAACGATTACGATTCAGGGGCTACGATTCGATTATAAAACGATTATTGATGCATCTTTAATTTATGTATATTGATGCACTTTTTCACAACACACATTTCTTTTTGTCTCACTGAATAAGTATTCAACACTTGGAATTTTTAAAAACAGTGCATTTGTAATAAGAAACAGTTGAATTCATTTCCATTATATTTATTAAACATATAAATGGAAATGTGTGCAAACTGGAAAGTTACAACTTCGTTGTACGGAACCAAAGGTAAAAACAGGTATCTTAAATCACAAGATAAAATGCGCAGTTAGAGTAACAAATGATTAGGTGGCAACAGACGTCTACGCATCACATGTAACTGCATTCCTACCTGCCTTCAACAGTGAGGCCATGACTTCTGTTTTGGTTTGATGGTAGAGTGTCGGGATGGCCGTGTCGGTGAAATAGCGTCGGGATGGGATGGTGTATCTGGGCTCCAATGTATGCAGCAGTGCTCAAAATCCCTGATTTTCCACGACGGAAGAAGGACGCAAATCCTTGGCAATAAATGCCGCGATGGCCTTCGTAATTCGCTTCGCCTTTTCCGATTAGGGTGGCAGCTTTCTAATTGCTTCCTCGATTGTTCTCTGGTTGGTAGCGCCACTAGTAGCCGCAGCAATAACAGCCTGCCGTCTCCCTGACTCCTCCATCAGGTGGAATCGAGTTACATGGCTTCTCATGTTTGTTGTGGTGCCAAAGTATTTTATTTTAGCACGACACAGTTTACATATAACGTGGCTCTTGTCCAGTTCGCTTCCACCGTCAATGTTGTAGAAGCCGAAGTATTTCCACACGTCTGCTTTTAAATTAGAAGGAGCTGTTCTGATCTCACGGTGAGGTGGGTGGCGGTCAGTCATGTTTGTTTTCCTCTGTGCGCGTGTCAGCGTGTCCGCTCCAGGTGCGCATCCCAAAGTGTCCCGAAGATGACGCTTACCGCGCTTCTTAGTTCCGCATTATTTAGAACCTTCTGTATTACTCTAATTAACAGATTTAAATAATCGAAATTTGGACGTTTGTGAATCGATTCAGATTCGTCCACGTCCGAATCGCGGTGCATATAAGAATCGGAAATTTCCCCCACCCCTAGCTGTCACTGATGTCATGACCTTTCCTTCCATCATTGTTCCCTCGAGAAGACTTCAGGAGGTGAACAGGGACCAACGCTGTTGCACTAGCAGCAAAATAGCAACCTGTATAGTGGAGGTGAATGACATTTAGTTTCTAGTTCTCCAAGATTTAAATATGTCATTCGAGACAGTGTCACGAGTACCTGGTTACTCCACAGACCTCAGCACAGCATTCAGCAGGTTTCATTGAAACTACTTTCTGCAGAAGAAACGGTGTTGACGCGGCTGTTTTATGGAGGACTGTGCTGTAATTTTAGTCTTCAAAAATAATTATAGTGATAAATACGCCTCAAAGGAATGGTAAAAGTAATGAATATTTACTGGTGATTATACATCTGGCCTCTCTGGTTTATTGTAACTTTTTTATTTGCAGGCGAAAGTCCAGTGGATTTCCTGTTTAACTTTTTGGAGGAATCGCAGGGCCCGTTCGGAGGTTTTGATGTCGTAGACAATCGTCCCAGAGCTGGTAAAGGAGCCAGAAGTTTGTGATATGCCAAAGTAATTGACCTCAGCATATTTCAGTAGATATTCTCTTTTTCTGAAGGTGTTAATGGCAGCCTGATGGTGACGCTGACCGGGAGTGAATCCGCCACAGTGACAGAAGTCATTCTGGTTGAATCGTCTGGGTCGGGAGAGGTTAATGGCAACGTGGAGGCTCAGGGTGGAGGAGACTTCTTGGCTCACTTTGACAGGATACCAGCAGAGGAGTTTGTGGTGCTTGTGAAGGGGCAGAGCAACAATGGTTCCTCCAGAATGTCCTCAACAAACTTTCAAAGGCAGTCCCCCACCAACATCAGAGCGTCTGCTGTGACTGTTACTTCTGTATGTAAAATGCATCTTCCTAAAAACTTATGAAATGACTTTTGAGATAAACTGTACTGCCACAGTTTTTACTATATACGACTGATAGTGACTGATTTCCTTCTGTTTTTAGCCTGATTCAGACAGCGTCTTAGTTCCAGGAACACCACTTTCAGTTCCCTTCACTGTGATGACGAGCGGTGCAGGAGGAACCTTCAGCATCCAAGCTACCAATGACCAAAGTTTTCCCTCTACTTTCCCGTCCAGTTTAATGCTGGAAACTGACGGCAGTGCCAACGGTACAGTGAACCTTACAGCACCTCTCAACACTGCGTCTGGTACTGTCGTCACCCTTACCATTTCGGCCGAGGCTTCAGGAGGCGCAGACACCAACTACGTCGTGCGGCGTTTCACTGTCCTTGAAACGGTAACTCTTCACAAATCACATTTCAATAGATGTTGAGGCAGTAAATGATCATTCTGTCTTATTTAATCCCTTCATCACTGTGTTTATTGGTTGAATTAATGACTGGAGGCAGCAGTAGCTCAGTCCATAGGGACCTGGATTGGGAACTGGAGGGCACTACTGTAGCAATGATTATGTGCGCAACTTCCAGTGAGATAGCGGAAGTAGCAGTAAGCTAGTTAGTCCCATAGACTGTCTGTGGTTCGTCCCAGTGGCTACTCTTGGTGGCTAACCGCCAACACTTGTTCTTTTCGAAAGTAATTTGCCTTCAGTTTAGCAAATACTAATTTATTTTTTAACAAATATCTGACTAATGTTAACGTAGCATTTTCTAAAATGTCTTTGCGAAGCTCTGGTACCTATTACACTGTCTGTGTCTGTACCGACTTACAACCAGTCGAAGCTAAATTTTTGTCTTCAGCAACTGTGTGTTGAACATCTAACCAGAACAAAAAGGGATTGTTCCTGTTGCCAAAGGTACCATTGATATGAAAAACAAAACCACAAGAGTTTCACGAGACGTAGCGAAAAAGTATCAAATCAGAATTTGCAGAAGAGAATGACACCTCGACTGACAGGTCAGTCACTCAACGTCAGTACATGATATCCTTGTCTTTCCCCGTCTGACTTCATTCTCAACCTACAGTGAAAAATTCCTCATTATAAAATGAACTCAGCAACATACCTTGAAATATGTATTTAGTCATTAGGGCTGAGAATGTGTCACTGATTTACTGTACTTCCTTTTTTATTATATTACAAAATGACTGCCAAAAGTTATTTCTTTTACTACTACTTTATATTACTGTTACTGAAGTCTGCTGCTAAATTCAGCATCCTGTTTGCTCAGAACAGTTTTTAATAAATCAGAAGTTAAAACAATGTGTAGACTGCGTGGTTAGCGCAGACGACCGGAAGATTAGCTTGGAAACATCACATAAATCCCCTTTACATAGAGCTACAGTTAATATTGATTTATGTGTTAGTATCTCTTAATAAGTCATTATAAATCATAATTCATCTTTAGAAGGAGCAGAAGTTTACCTTAAGCTAGCTCGGGCCATGTTAAAGTTAACAATATTTTAACGTGCAAGGCAAGCTAATTGCTAGCATGCTCGGTGGAAAAGGGGAAAAAAAACAATGCTTTGACATGGCTGTCAGAGATGGCAGAGGTATGATCACATAATCCCATTTGAGCTATAACAGGTGGTGTGTTCCACGTTTTATTTCCCAATTGCTCTTGGAAAGAAGAATAGAATTAGTCTAGTAGGAAGGGGGGGGGGTCCCCATGGTCACGGTGGATTTCTAAATGAAACCTATATTTTTGGAATCGTGAAGGTCTGTAGATAATGAATTTTGATGTTCCCATCGCAAAAAAGGGTAGTCCTCGGAATTCTGGCAGAATTTCGAATTCCGTCAAGCGGAATATATGGAAAAAATTAAAAATCAAATGTATCCACAACTTTTGAACCATATATTGTACAGAGACAAATAAGCCATCTTTTTTGCATAAATTAAGCATGAGAAATCTATTAAAATGGTTATTTTAATGATTTAAAATGTACGTCTATGCGTAATTGGCTTTTCTTTGCAAAATTTAGCAGAAAAAATATGAAAAAAGCTATGACCTATAGGAAATCTTTCCAATTTGTTGGTATTTGGTGAGAAACATCAGCTTTTTAATAGCTATAGAAAACTGCCCAGCACTCTAAGCTTTCATTTGATTGGTTACATGTTGCTGTAACTAAAAAAATAAAGTCTGGGAGACTGTTAGAGCTATGTCTACTCCCAAATTTGTGATAGACAGGTCAAAATGAGGGATAACCATCACTCTTGAATCATACATCATACATATATAAATGAACCAATTTTTTAATGTAATTTTTTATTTTACAAATTGATTATGGTGTTCTCTTGATGACTTAAGTAGTTTTTATGTATTTAGTCCAAATAGTATTTCTAAGGGCTGAAATATGTGCCATCAGAAACTGAATTTGAATCATTTATATTTGAATTTGAATTTCTAAACTTGAATAATTGCATTGAAAAACTGAGTTTGAACCACATAATTTGAAATTGAATCATTTATATTTGAATTTGAATTTCTAAACTTGAATAATTGCATTGAAAAACTGAATTTGAACCACATAATTTGAAATTGTATTGTTAATTTGAATCATTGCATTGAAAAACTGAATCTGAATAGTATAATTTGAAATTGAATTTATTTCTATATATCTTCACATTCAGCTCTCACAATTCAAATTCAGTTCTCAAAATTCAATTTCAATTTACTGTGACACTGTGTTAAGGATGAAGGAAGAGCAATCGAGCGCAGACACACAGGATTCCTCTTCGGCCAATCAGCACCTATGTTTTTGAGCACGTAGGAAGAAGCGCTCCCCTTGATCCATAGATCATAGACAATAGGCTTGTTCGAGATGAACTGCGCCTCGCCTGAAAAGTAGACGAGAGCAGGCAGCCGCAGCGGGGGGCGGTGACAAAAAGCTGCAGTGAAGTCGGACAGTTTCCCAACGGTTTCCAGCAGCCTTCAGTCCGTATAGGAAGTCACAGACACACTTACATCCTGTCTGGAATGATGTCAATTCATTAAAAAAGTGATCAGACCCATATAGGCTATCAGTTTATGTGTTTAGTTTGTTTTCAGTCTCCAGTTGTTTTAATTATGATAGATTCATTTATTAAAATACTTTACAGGTGATCTGTAGTTTATGTTCATGGTTTATTCTCCATTTGATATGAATTCTCCTGTAAATCAGCATCATATCAGTTTGACCTGTCCCCTCAACTACACAGGCTGAATAAACTGTGTTTGACTATAAGGTTAATATTTTCAGAGGAAAAAAAATACAAGACAACACCTTTCATTAAAGGGAAATTTCAGTTCATTTCAACCTGTCTCCTATCGTCCTAAATTTGTTTCAAGTGACTAGTGACATAAAAATAATAGTTAGCATGTTAGCCATTAGCCTAGATACAGCCGGGGCGCATAGTAGCATCAGACCTGTTAAAACGTAAGTGAACGGGCAACCTTCAAGTGCAAAGTTAGTCCACTAAAGAAGCTTTTTTTCCACAAAGACCGCCTCATATCGTTAGGATAAATGTCAGAGAACATATTGAAAACGCCATGTAAACGTGTTGTCTTACCTTACCGGTGTGGTGCAATGTTTGTTTACCATTTAGCTCTGCTTTCCAAAGGGTGGCCGAAATATCGCGAACAAACAGCGATCTCATAGCGTGCCTGAACAAGCAGCAACAGCTGGAAGGCAGAACCGGACAGTAGCCTGAAAAGTTCATTCATTTATTTTATGAAAGATTTATAGAATAATGGCTGACTTTTTGCCAGACTTAGACTTTGTGGAGGAGGAATTTGATTTTGCAGAGTTTGATGGCCGCCCTTATTTATTTGAGCCAGAATACACTGACGAAGAGCTTCGTGAAATTGAAGAACGGAGGAGGAGAGAGAGAGAAGCGCAACAGGTAGAGGACGAGAGAGGAGGAATGGCTGCTGCAAGGCTGCGTAGCTCTGGAGATTGGTGGTGTACCTGTGAATGCTGTGCCCCAGTGCCCACAGAAGAGGAATGCCTCTATTGCAAGGAATGGGACCGGTTGCAGCCTTATTTTCAAGGTCTGGATGTGACCGAGGACGAGACACCTCCACCTGGAGTAGTATCCAGCTGGGTTTTATCTAGAGCTCGCGAGATTTCAGGCAC